GGGCTGTAGGGTGGCTGCGGCAGCGTTGCCACGTGGTGCTTCGCCAGAAACTCACGGACGAGCAGAGACGTGTGGCTGGGCGCATTGTCATGATGCAGCCGCCAGTTAGCGGCGACGTCTTTTCGCACGCGGATTACCTTTTTCCTTAATCTTTCTAGAACATCCACGTAGTAGGGACAGTCTGTCCTTGGAGTAAAAACTCTTTGTACACCACACCCTTGGCGTCATCTTCCACTCCTTCCTGGCCCTCCTTAAACTCTTCACCCACCTTGTAACTTGCACACATGATAGAGCAGACTCCCCGTAGGCTTGCTTAAGCAGTTTATGAGTTTTGGCAGCTTTTTTGTTGAGCTTTGTGCAGAACTTGACCTCCCAACGTTGTTAAAAAGTATCCGCCATCACGCGCCGTGACGTCACAAAACACAGTGCACTAAATCAGCGATACTGACGCCTCCGATGCTCGAGCAGACTGACCTTGGGTGCGCTGTGAAGCTAAAGGCCTCCCCCCCCTTAACCCAACTGGTTCTTCATTTCATGACTTTTGGGACACACCTTGTATTAACATGGTTAATTCAAGACATGATGCCATTCTCATCCCCCTCTGTAAGTTCATTCTGTAAACATCCTAAAATTTGCAATTCCTCAGTAACTTTGAAAGCATAGTTGTAGTAAATATCACCCCTCCATAATGAGTAATTTTTGAGAAGTGTTGCTGAATTCTCACAGGTCACTCTCTCTTGAGGTGTAGGGTAGCCCTGATCAGGCAGCACATCATCTGATCCACGGTTTTTTTTCCTCTGGGATTTATCTCTCACCCTGCACTTTGGCTGTTGCAGACTAAGGAAGTCTTTCAACTGCCCTGTTAGAGAAAAGTTACTGACATGGAAGAATAAAACATGTATATCTTTCAATCACGGTTACCCAACTTATGCCCTCATATATGTGGTGTGTTCAAAAAGTATCGAACATTTGGTCGGCAGAAATACATTTAGTGATTTGGAGGTACAAAACCCTAATCCCCTTCAAAGTAGTCTCCTTGGTAATGCACACACTTCTCCCAGCGCTTCCGCCATTGTTGGAAACCCTTCTGGAACGCGTCCTTTGGAATGGTGATCAGCCGGGCTGTCGCATTCCACATGATGTCTTCTCTTGACTCAAATCGGGTTCCTTTCAGTGGCATTTTCAGATTGGGAAATAGCCAAAAGTCACACGGAGCCATGTCATGGGAGTAGGGAGTCTGACGAACCACAGGGATGTTGTGTTTGGTGACGAAAGTCTGAATCAGATGCGCAGAATGGGTGGGTGCATTATCATGATGGAGCTGCCAAGTTTTTGCTGCCCACAGATCCAGTCATTTGTGCCGCACAGCATCACGAAGGCGACGGAGGACCTCCTGGTAGTATTCCTTTGTGATGGTTTGGCCTTGTGGTGCGTACTCATCATGCACAACCCCATGGGAGTTGAAGAAAACGGGCAACATGACCTTGACATTGCTGTGGACCTGCCGTGCTTTTTTTGGCCTTGGGGATGTTGGATGTTTGCACTGTGACGACTGCATCTTGGTTTCCGGGTCGTACCCATAAACCCACGACTCATCGCCTGTGATCACGGTATTCAGAAAGTTGGGGTTACTGTCTGCACTGTCCAGCATGTCCTGTGCGATTTCCAGACGGCGTTGCTTATGCTCCATTGTTAGCAGTTTCGGTACAAATTTCGCGGACACACTCCTCATGCCCAAATCCTTGGTCAAAATTGAATGTACCAATGCAATGCTTACCCCTATCTCGTTCGCAAGTTCTCGGACTGTGATATGATGAGCCTCCATGACCAAAGTCTGCACTTGCTCAATGACATTCTCATTTCAGCTTGTTGAGGGTCTGCCTGAACGCGGTTCGCTGTCCACTGAAGTGTGGCCATCTTTGAAGTGGTTGTACCACTCCTTTATCCCTGAGTTGCTCATGGCATCGTCCCCGAAAGCCTGTTGAATCTTGTGAATGGTTTCCACTTGGGTATCACCAAGCTTTTGGCAAAATTTGATGCAATATCGCTGCTCATGTTCCACCATTTTACACCTTACTGGAATCCGACGAGCGCTCACTACACGTCCTCACTCATAGGCCGACTGCCAGCGACTGACGCTTTCTGCGAGCGGGAAAAAATTCACGACTGCGCATGAATGTCCCCTCCACATCTCCACTGAAGGGTGCCTCCCATGCTTCATTGGTTTACGCGGGAAAAAAGAAGGTTCAATCCTTTTTGAACACACCACGTACATTTCTTTATGGTACTAAAGTACATTGTATTGTCATCCATCCAGACCTAGAGTTCACAATACCTATTAATCAAAAGTTTTTTAAATTGATTTGTTTTTTCAGCAGTTTGATACAATGAGAATTCTCCAAGACAGGTGAGACTGTAAGAGAGATCTGTTTCAATGATTAAAAATTACCATATATATATATATTTTTTTTAACCTCTCATTACCCTGAGTGTGGTTCCATCCATTGGATACATCAAGCGATCATTGTGCATGTTAGAATGGCAGATTAGTTTAAAGGAGTTGGCAGTAATTGTAAATAAGCTCTTGATCAATGGGAACATGTGATTATAAGAATGTCATAATGATAGCAGTTTCATTCCTTTTTTCTTTCTAAAGATAAAGTTTGTGCACTTCTGTGGTTCAGTGGAAGTCAGATGACCATTTCTGCTGTAAGCAAAGTCAATGATGAGAAACTCCCCAGTTTCCTATTTTCTGATTTTCATCATAAGACTCCCAGAATTTGATTTGTAAGGTCCTGTGCTAAGAAATATTTGAACCTCATAAGGTTAAATTGACTTTTCAGCAGCTGTAGGCCATGGACTTTGTGAAACTGTTGATTTGTAGTCTGTGCCACATGTACACTGTCATCATAACATAAGATTGATTTTCTGTTTAGGTGAAGAAGTACAACTTTGACATGATAAAGAGAGTGACATCAAGTGGCCAGGTGTTGATGATGTGTTCCTTGAACTGCCTAACATTGTATCAGGTGTCAGTGAATGCTGTTTCCTCAAAAAGGTAAGTGGAGTAGTATAGAAGTTTTAGTTTTGAACTGAAAAGATTTGTTGCTCTGACTGTTTACAGTAATGTGATGTTACCTGTTAAGTTCACAGTCTTCTGGGACGTGACACTGTAATCTGGTTCGTAGACGCTGTGTCCGTCCTCAGGGTAGAAAAAGTGTCTTCCCTGAAGATGGAACCAGCAGGGTTCTCTGAAGCAGTGATAACTGTCTATCAGATTACACAGTGTGACAGTAACCTTAATGTTTGACAGAATAAGAAGCACAACTTTTATAAAGTTACCTAACTGAAAGCTCGGTTTTGGAAGTAGTGAGATTTGAGGCTGTCACAGTGGCAACTGAATGTTGTGTAGTCTGGTAGATATTTGCTAATGTTTTGGAGGGAAAGTAAGCCTTGTCAGGCAGTCGGCCATGTTAATGTGGAGGTAATGTCTGTCTCCATCATCACGGTTGATCTGCACATCACCCGTGATGATGTAGACAGAAACAGTCTCTGTAATGTTGGACACCGACTCTACATTGACACAGCTGATTGCTGAAGAAGACATCATTGTATGCTGTCGCCATGACAACTTCAAGTCATGTGTTTGGAGAGACATACGTAAATATCTGCCAGACTGTGTAGCATCGCATCCTAGAAGGCAGTAATCTTCCTTAATTTGATTTCATGTGAAGATCTCTTCACTGTTATCGCCCTAAAAACATTTGTACCGCAGGTAGTCTTTGTGTTCTTGTTTCAGAATTAAATGTGACTTGTGCAATTCCGTAGCGCAGGCTCAGTACCATCTGACAATGTCGGATGCAACAATTCGGAACTTCTGCTCATACCAGTGTGTGATGTCATTCCAAGGACAGTATGCCAAGAATACTCCTGTCACATACTCTGGCAACGAGGCTTCTCCTGTACCAACAGGTGAGACTGGGTTCTGTTTTCAGTAGAGGCCAGCACTGTACCAAGGACTGTGGGGATATACTCACATACCTGCCAGCCTTCTAAAGAAAAGTAAATACATGTTTTGTTGTCTCACTCCAAAACAGTCCACTCTTTCTGATTCTAAAACTGAACATTATTGTGTTAAGGATATCAGACTTGCTGCTTGGATCCTCAGCAGGGCTGAATTCAGAGTTCATCTTCTTGAGCTGAAGTTACAGTCATCTGAAATAAACACTGGCCAATCTCTTTGCAGCTGTGTCTGGTAGATATATGGTTGCCAGTGTTTCGGAGAAACATATTCCTCCACCTTCAGGGTTCAGTCTTGAAATTCTCACTTTGTAGTTAACAGACTTAGGATTGCAAGGGGTCAATGTATTACTGCGCTCTTTCGTTCATAGCAGTAGGTGTATGGTTTGATTTATGGTTTTATGTTACTTGACAACAAATGAAACAGTCTTCAGTGAAATATAAATGGAATGTGTATATATATAATGTTTATCACAAAATTAATTTAGGCTTAAATTGTAACTGCAGTTACTTGGAAGAAGTATTGCATTTCATTACATAATCTTTGCACTTCTCCCCCCCCCCAACCTACCCCCAAATTTTTCTTCTATGAATTTTACAAATGACTGAATTTATAGGACTGTACAGGAGAAATTAAAACAAACACAAAAGGATGAGCTGTGACAGATTCCAAGAAAGTTTCTAGAATATCAATCAAAAGGAAAATTCTGAAGAGCTCTGAAACAGTGGAAGGATTCTGTTTTGTAATATTGTAACAGGTCTCTACAGGCCTCGTAGTGGTAAGGGTGATGATGGTGCTGTCTTAGTTGTATAGTTTATGGAAAGAGTCTGTCATGAAAAAATAATGTTGCTGAGGAGATCACCTGTAAAAGCAAACATTTTTTCTTTAATGGGATGGATTTAGTTGGTAACAAAGAATAGATTTGTTTTTCTCGTTTAAGCTCCTCAGGTTTTTAGGCTAATGTCACACGAGCGCTGTCTCACGTACGTGAATATTGGCGCACGTCATGGAGGCATACAAATATATGAGAGAAGTCACACGGCACGGACGCGAAGAATGGCGTTGTCCGCGACACGGACGCGAAGAATGTAGCTCCGCGATCCCCCATGACGCAACGTGACCCGTCCGCGCTGAGATATGCATTTGTTTATGGTGGTTGTCACACGGGCGCGATAAATAGCGGACGGGAAGTTAGAATATCACGCTGTTTTGTTCAGGTCAGAATGGAAATAGAAATGGAGAAAATGATTTTATTAGGCAAAGTCAAAGTCACATTGCGACTGACGGTCAGTCAGTCAGTCTGTCTTGGTGTCGAGCCCCGACTGGGGCTCATGACCAGATTTTTTTTCTTCTTTATATGAAAGTTACTGTCCTGTTCATTTGGGGCGCCCTCTCTGACGAGAGGTCGGGTCTGTCATTTGTCAGTCATAGTCTGTGTTAGTAAGTCCATTGTCAGCATTTACATATATTTACAAATTTAATCTTAATTCCTATTTCCCATTCCTATGCCATATTTCTAGTAGTATTCGCTACCACGGTAGTCTAGTCACTTGATCGGTAGTATGCCTGACCGCCGCCAAGTTTAAGCCTCTTATACTTTGTGTGTCGGGCTTCGCCTTGTCCGATGTTGCGAACATTCTCATTTTCATGATTTTGTATGACTTCTGCTTGTTTCCTGCATAATTTTGTTATATAGTCATAAACGTACGGGATTTTAAATGCCATGTGCAAATCGCGGACCGGTGTGCGCCTTGGGAAATTGCCAATGGTGCGGAGAACCTTGTTTTTATTAATTTATGGTCGACTTCTTATATAGACTCGGATCTGACCTACAGAAAACCATCGATTCCCTAGCAACCAGTAATGCTGAGTCATTCTCTAGCAACGGAGTGTTGACCAGAATGTTTTCGCGACTGCGTGTTTATCTGGCTGTTACCTAGCAGTAGATTATTCCGGCTTTCAGGTGACATATCACAAAATACTACTTATTACATTATCCGAAATACCATTTTTACTTTTAAGCCATTAATGTTCAGTAAACGTTTTCTTTCCTGTCGCTGTGTACTGCCAAGGTACTTGCCCAATATTGCTAACAAAATAATCAGCTAAGGTATCTCGAATTCTCTGCACATTTGCTCGACTTCCAACAGTGTCAATTTCCAATTCAGTGTCTTCAAATCCTACAACATTCAAAGTATCTTCCAACTGAAATCCATCGCGATCACGAACGAAGTTATGCAATACACGGCAGCCTTTAACAATGTCATCTTGAAAATCAACACTCGTCTCCAATGCTCGGGGAAATTTGTTACAGAGTATTACAGGCTAATGTCAATAAAATCCGTGTTCGCAGCATGAAGCCTCCCCAAAGACTGACTTGGCAATACGTGGAAGACGTGGAATATAGCGCTCGTGTGGCAACCTGCTTCACGTCCGCGGATTTCGATGGAAGAGCCGCGTCCGCTGTTTTCAGCGCTCGTGTGACATTAGCCTTAGCAGTGTAAGGCATCAGTTGTCAGACCCACACAAGTTCTTTTAGGCTCAGTCAATTATGTAGGGATGTATGTTTTTCCTTTTTACCATGCCCATCCCTTCCGCTTCCTGTAACCTTTACCACAGCACATTGGTTGTAGTGGTAACACTTCAGACTTTAATTCATGAAGTACCTGGTTCAGATCTTGGCTGGGGCACTGACTCTCCTAACAAGGTTTTTTGTTATTTTCCCCAAGTCTTTCCAACAAAATGCCAGGATAGTACCTCAGATTAGGTTATGGTCCCTTCCTTGCATATCCTTTTTAATTCATTCACTAATCCTATCATTCAGCACTTTATAGTCTGAACTTCTGACTTGTTAAATGAATCTCAGAATGAACCTGTGCAGGCTGTGCGAAGCTTGCAGTGAAACTTGAGCACAGTCAAGCTTGCCAAATGCTGCATTTTTTCACTGCCATTAACAGCAAGTTATAATGTGGCCAGTTACCCAGTATTACTGGGAGATTTAACGTCCCATGTTCGTGAACAATAAGCATTAATTTCAGAATAAAAAATTAATGTGTGTGAATTATGGGATGAAATGCAGTTTATATATGAAGTGATGTCAGTCCTAGTGTGACATTCTATGCAAAGATTGGCCAGTTCTTTCATAAAAACTATAACAGTTAAAAACACCTCTGTTCCCAAAACAAGATATAGAAAATTTTGAAGAACAAATATTTTGCCTTGCAGTACCGTCTCTAAACATGTATGCAAATTGGCCTCAAATTATCGACCAGACAGAGTTATGGCACTCCTAGCAGGGTTTAACTTCTAGACTTACAGTCCATCCAAGCTCATGCAAGTGAAGAAACATGGAAACATGTTGGTACTATACTTTCATTTGAAATATTTAAAAACCGGAAGTAGGTAAATTAATGAATTTGTATGGAACCCAACATACTCAAAACAGGTTTTATTATAAAGCAGATGGAAAGAGTTCATCAAATATAATCGTCATTCAGCTTCTGTATAACTGTCCAAATGTTAACAGAATTAATTTTCACAGAAGAGCTCAGTGCATGATCGTAACAGCAAATTTGTTTGAAAGGTCAGTGCAGTTGCTTGAAATTATAACTTGACATGTTTACTACTTTACAGAATGGTTGGCAGGTATGAAATTATCCTTTGTTTTCCAGGTGGGCCCAAACGAGTGTATCCCAGACGATCTGTTCCACTTACACAGAATGAGAATCAGATGTGTAAGTTAAATTCGGAGCATTAAAAAGCATGGCAAATGGGTATTTATGTCCCTTCAAAATTCTGATTACTTGCTCGTAGGTGTTGATGAATTTAGCACAGTTGTATCATCTGACTTACAGCTGCCAACAAGACGGGTTCTGCGTCTATGCCTGTCATCTCGAATGTGACCTCACTTGCCACTCCTAATGGTCAGCAGGTGTCCACCGCAAACAGTACGGGTATCACGACAAGATCTTCTGCACTCAAGGTGAGAGACTGTCAGGACTCTGAGAGAATTTGAGACTGTCTTGTTCTGAGTTAATAAAGGTGTTTCATGCCATACTGTGTGTGATGATGTACCGTCATATTTCTCACAGTTTCAGTTAATTGCTCACTTGGCTCATGTCTTGCCTGGAAGACCAGTTATCTGGCTGGCAGTTTTTATGATATTCATTTTCCCCTTTAGGCAGATGCTGGTAGAGTACCTCAGATCACTGCAGATTCCTTCTAAATTCTTTCCAGCTGCATAATCTGAGATACTGAAGTATCATAAAATAAGCCAGAAACCAGTGTTCACCATTTCAATTGGCCAGACCAGGTTCTTTCTCCTCTCTCTTTCCACAGATCTTGGCAGCTTGTCTTTATAACCTGACCACATCCTGACCACTTTCACTTTGACCCAGATGATGGAGCAGCATGTTTCTCTCAAATGTCAGTAAATAGCTACGAGACTACATGATGTCACATCCCAGAGTACAGTATCCTTCAGTATAAAATTTCATGTTACATGGGGATTGTGCATACACATAATTCAACTGTGATTTTGTTCCAGGTGAATAATAATAATATAGCCTCACCACAGTCTGCAAGGACATCACCGGTGATGTACAAGCAGCAGGTCATTGTGAAGCCTCCCTCCCCCAAACAAATGAGGAATAAATCTGTGCTTTGCAAGCCATATATGCATACAAAGGGAGTGTCTTGCCGGCCCCATCCCTGCACAAAGGAAACTCAAACAGGTGAGGGACTTCGTCCGTGAATTAGGTCACTTTCGTTATACTTGTAATTCGCAGATTCATACGTGTTGATTAGCTTCCTCACTCAGTCTGTGAAGCAGAGTTGTTGAGATACGTGGGGCAATCCAAAAGTTTCCGAAATTTGAATTTTGCGCGCGAATGGTTATGAGTACATCGAAATACCGCTAGGTGTCTCCTCACACATCCTTCTTGAATCAGTGTGGTAAGCGGTGTCGAGTTGAGTGGTTGGGTTTATTGTTGGTGAACATATTTCCATCGTTGTGTTTCCATGAGTTTGCGGTTTTGCGATGGCTGATCTGAGAGAGCAGCGTGTCTGTATAAAGTTTTGTTTCAAACTTGGGAAAACCGCTGCAGAAATACACCAAATGTTGAAGCAAGCGTTTGGTGACAACAGTTTAGGCCAGGTACAAACTTACGATTGGTATAAGCGTTTTAAAAATGGCTGAACATTGACTGATGATGATGATCGTTCGGGACGGCCGTCAACGGGCAAAACACCAGAAAATGTCGCGAAAGTTAGGGATCTGATTCTGCAAGATCGTAGACTGATCATCCAAGGCCTCTGTAACACCTTGGGACTAAGTTATGGTACATGTCAACAAATTTTGTCATAGGAACTGAACATGAGGAGGATTGCGGCAAAGTTTGTGCCATGACTGCTGCAAAATGAACAGAAGCAGCATCACTTGGAAGTCTGCAGGGAACTTCAGCAAGAGCTTCAAGAGGATCCAAACTTTCTTTTGAAGGTTGTCACTGGTGACGAAAGTTGGGTTTATGGCTATGACCCTGAAAGCAAGCAGCAATCGTCGCAATGGAAGAGCCCTTCTTCACCTCGGCCTAAAAAAGCTCAACAAGTCAAGAGCAACATTAAGTCCATGTTGATCTGTTTTTTTGATATTGACGGGATTGTTCATAAGGAGTTCATCCCTCCTGGTCAGACAGTCAATAAAGAGTTCTATCGCAATGTTCTAAGGCGTTTGAGGGAGAACATGAGGAGAAAACGTTCAGAGAAGTGGCGCATGAAGGACTGGGTACTCCACCATGACAATGCATGACCACATACGGCTTACATTGTGCTGGAATTTTTGGCTAAAAACAGGATGGCAGTTGTTCCTCACCCACCGTACTCGCCAGACTTAGCTCCATGCGACTTCTTTCTCTTCCCCAAGATGAAAATCAAGTTGAAGGGGCGAAGATTTGATACAGTTGAGGAAATTCAAGTGGAAACGCAGACGGTACTAAACACCCTAACAAAGAAAGACTTCCAGGATGTATTTGAAAAGTGGCAGAAACGCTGGGATCGGTGTATGCGCTCCCAAGGGGACTACTTTGAAGGTGATGGTGCAGAATAAGATCTAGGTAAGATGTAATAGTTTTTATTAATATATTTTTGGAACTTTTGGATTGCACCATGTACTAACATCAGTCAGTCAAGAAATTCCCTGATTTAATCTGAAGTTTCATCAGCATATTCACAAAAATGTTGCGCTGTTCCCCATCCTGGTCCAGACTAGTTTAATCTGATCATCCCATAGATGCTTAGATCTAGCTCAGCCCATGCAGCATCTGTGGTGGATGAAATGACGAGCGGCACTGGGCATGTTGCCCCCAGCACTTCAATTTTCCCTTGTCAGTTATGCTACAAGAGTTCCATTCTATCGTCTGGCACGCTTGTCGCCAAAGTACCAAGGGACTCGATGTCACTGCTCTCTTCATAAGGCCACTTGTCCCAAGCAGCTTCCTGATAAAAGCACAAGCCAATGCAGGTGTATGATCACCATCCTCAGTCTAAGGTTCCTCTGAATCCTGTTTACAACAACATTAATCCAGGTGACTACATTGTACAGGCCCTCCCATGAGGATTGGAGCTTGGGGGATTTCGTCTTCCTTCAGGTTGGGCGATAGAGCTGCACATTGTTGCCCTTGTGGTAGCCCGCACTGTTGGCTAGTTTGTCGTAATGAGTTTTCATCTGGTCGTTGGCCACCTTCAGGTGTTGGTGGGCATAATTGTGGGTGTCATGTAGATGGCCTGCTAAATTTTCAGCATGATTGATTGTGAGTTGGGGGGGAGTGCCCCAAACAGCAGGTTGCAGGGCAGTTGGATTTTTCTTCCAAAAGCTAGGCTTGTCAGGGTGAAGCCTGTAGTGTTGTGAGTGGATGCCCTGTAAGCAGAGAGGAAGATATGTAGCCTCACATCCCAATCCCTCTGGTGCGATGTGACAACTGGTTATCCTTTTGAATGGGGCCTCGAAGTTTTACTGATACATTTGGCCCCAATTCCTGGTTTGGGGTGCTGCAACTTGCTGCACAGGTGTTGCGCTGTCCGCACCACTTCTCAACATTGTTTCTTGCCTGGAGCCAGTAGTACCTTTGCCAGACCTTATTCAGGGTCTTGTTGACACCCAAGTGACCTCCTGATGGTCCACCATGTAGTTCGGTCACCACAGCCTTCACTCTGCTCTGAGGGAGCACTATCTGGGCTATTTTTGATTGTCCAATGGCAGATTCCCAGTACAGGAAATTGGTCAAAGTTCTGTGGTCTCCCTGTAAAGGAAGAAATTATTTATTTATTTGCAGCTAATCTAATGGTGGTGTTGGAGCTAAAATGATTCATAACAAATGGTGGAATGATTAACGAATAAATACAGTAAACTGACTCAGGCAGTTATGCTTCTGACTTGTAATTGGGAAGTGCCCAGCTTGAATCTTAGTCTGGGCACTGATTATCCTAATTGAATTTATCCACAGGTTTCATCAGTCTTTCGGAGTAAATGTCATTATACCACAGTTAGGCCACAAACACTTCTTGTATATCGTAACCAGTCCCTTGATTATTCCTTAATCATTCCATCATGCACTGTTGTCTGTGTATGTATATAGTCTGTAGATATTGAGAACATAATCTAATAAATAAGGGTAGTGAATAATGAATTTGAAAGGATGAAGAAGGAAGCATTTTTGGTCTGCTTTTGAGAGGGTCCCAGAATTTGCTTGGCAGGCAGAATGAAGAATGTGTTCCAGCTCTTGACAATCCAGACCTCTGCCAATTGACTGTAATATTGTTTGGGATTATTTGCAGAGGACACCATGGGCAAGAAAGTGCTGATTCCAGTACCTGTGCCCATATACGTCCCAGCCCCAATGCACATGTACAGCAGCCCATACCCAGTGCCAGTACCATTTCCACTACCCGTGCCAGTACCAATCTTCATCCCCACCACCAGGAACTCAGCTCATGGCATCATGAAGGAAATCAAAGTAAGTGTTCCATTTTGGTATGCATATGGGCAAAGCATCACACTGGTGCAGAGCAATAACTCTATGTCAGGCTTATCCTTTACTTCATCATTTTACTGAGAAATTGCTCATATAAAATAAATTGTGCATAACGTAAAAATATAGATATTTTAAACATTTTTTGATATTGGACTTTGTGTCTCATTCAGAGGATTCTGAGTTCAGTCCCCAGTCACATCCCTGCACTCACAGATCAGAAACTTTACCCCTGTCAAAGACAAAACTTATGAAGAACACACGCATGTGGTTCAGAGTCCACATTAAGCTGTCGATCCCACCTGCTGACCATCACTGACATGGATCACTGGAGGTAATAGGATCTGCCCTATGGGTGCCTCCATCTCAGAAATAGATTGTGTCCCTGCCAAGGTGGACAGAGGATGGAATGGTCAGATGGACTATTCGTACTAGGTAGACACCAACATATTTTTATATAATGATTGAGGAAAATGTAATTTTTGGCTCTGCTCAGTGAGGTATCAGTATTTTGATGAAATTTGGAAGGATATGAATGTTAAAAGTTGATGAGGTATGTCAGGTACAAAAAAAATCATATTAAAATGCCTTTATCAAGTGGAAGCCCATGTGTATCATCCACGATTTCTCATGCTGGCATGAGATACAGAATTGTCGCAGGAATCTAAGGTAGCTGTGTCACCTGGATAGGTTTCTGTTTACCCCCAACTACAGAGTTATGAAATGATGGTTAATAGAGGGGTCTTGCAGCTTTACATGGTCTTCAGAATGCACTTGGCAAGAAGTTCTGAATGAGAATCTTTTCAGAAAGTTTTTATTGTTTGCTATGATTTGCTTGCTCCTGGACTAGCCACTGTTATCCACATTGCTGGTTTTGTCATACTCATTGTGTCAGTGTTTGTGGTGCTGATACACTCAACAGCACACAGGTATGTAAGCGGCACTGTCTGTAATGCAACCAGATATTTTCAAACACTGGAGGAGTGCAGTGTATTCAATATGAGTGTCTCCAACTTGCCCAATTTCAATCCATGCAAATTTTACCCAATATGAACACAATTTCATGTCAGTCTTTTAATTTAATTTCTTAGTGGAGACTAAAAAAAATGAAATTATTTTGGTGAAAACACAAAATAAATAGATTTGTAAATGGCCAAAATTAATGGTATTGTCACGATTTGGAGTTACTATAGATGGGGTTTGGATAGGTGAATGGATTTATTGACCACTTAGACACTGCTTGGAACTACAAGTAATCAACAGCCCTATCGCTAATCTCCACACTTCGCAAATCACCTTAGCACCTGCTAAGCCTTTTTCCAGCTTGCAGTGTCTCCAACAGCCATTCCCAAGCAGCGGCTTCTAACAGTTGAGATTATTCAGCTTCCTGCACTCAGGTCCTATCTTCAGAGCCACCTGTGCAGAATTTTTGTCCCCTGTCAACTCAACTACAGCGCCATCTCTTCTCAGCCTCCCTAGCACAGCTCAGTCGAACTGGTTACCCAGTTATCTTTTTATAACTCCTCAGCACAGACTTTTTTTATAACACCCCATTTTTCCCAGTGCATGCATAACTGTTGCTGCAGGAACATGTTTACCAAGCAATAACTATTATTGTATAGATATGTTTACGACGCCATTGCACAGCAACGGCCACCATCCTGTTGTTTGCTCCAAGGTCCTTGCCCAGCAGTGGGTCTATATGCCACAGTATTAAAGTTCATTAGAGTAGTATTTTTCAGTGACAGTTAAGGACACTGAAACCAAAAGGGTAACAAAAATTTAGAATTATGCCATTTTGAGTTCCACAGTCAGTCATGGGAATGCAAGGTATCAGATATCTGTATTGATGTTAGATGCTAGTAAGGATTAGAACTCAGGAACATCCTTTAAATCAGTGCAAAATGCATTGTTTGTGATCAAGCACATCATTTTATGACCGTGTGTGTCGAAAGTCAGGAATATTTTCAATCACGGGGCATGCTGATACCAAGACGGACCCAACAAATCTGGGAAGGCTGGCCTTTTTTCTCCAGTTTCTGAACCTTGTAATGTTTTACAGCGGATTCAGGAGAAAATACCAACAGATCCATTTGAGGCAGAGTTGCTGATGATGGCAGAGATGGTGGCTGGAGAGAAAAAGGGTGATAATTCGGACTCCGACAGCGATGATGGTGCCACTGGTGCAGGTGATGTCAGTGAGGTTCCGGGAGGTAAGCTATAATTGTGGAACACCATATATGTATATTTGTCGCAAAGGTAAAATGAGAAGTTGCACATGTATCTAAGCACTGCACCATGTACGTAGCACGTCCACAAAGTAAATTTCCCACTCGTCCCAGAGCTAGCAAACATATTGCACGAAGCGACTGCACATACGTGATAGAGCAATGACGTAGCATGGCGCATGCACTAATGGAATTTCCCGCGTTCCCACGGTAGCATCGTTGCAGCTGTTGAAGATGGAGGCTCTTATTCCAGCTCCCGCCGACTGTGAAGCGCGGTCAGTGATAAAGTTTTTGAATGCACAGAGCATAGCGCCGATCGAAATTCATCGTCAGCTGTGCCGGGTCTATGGGCCTAACATTATGAGCAAGCAGATGGTGCATCACTGGTGCAGACAATTTTCGGCAGGTCAACAAAGTGTGCATGATGAGAAGCGCAGTGGGCAGCCATCCATCATTACAGGCGACCTGGTGAAGCAGCTTGTGCGGGAACGTATTGTGGACAATCGTCACGTCACAATTACAGAACTCAGCAGTCATGTCCCGCAGATTTCCTGCTCCTTGTTGCATGAAATTGTTACAGAGCACCTGTTGTTCAGGAAATTGTGCGCCAGGTGGGTGCCGAAGCAACTGACACTAGAACACAAAACAAAGCGCATGGAATCAGCATTGACATTTCTGCAGCGGTACCAGGATGACGGCGACGAGTTTCTGGACCGGATCATCACAGGTGATGAAACGTGGATTGCACACATTACCCCAGAAACCAAGCAGCAACAGCATTGGCGTCACAGTGGATCTCCCTGTAAGACGAAATTCAAGCAGATGGCACGGAAAGTGATGTGCACAGTATTCTGGGACAGACGGGGTGTTCTCCACGTCGACTTCCTGACCAGAGGTGAGGCGGTTAATGCTGAGCATTACTGTGAAACACTGCAGAAATTGCAATGGGCCATTCAGAACAAGCGGCGTGGGATGCTTAGTGCCGGTATTGTCTTCCTGCAGGATAACACTAGGCCGCACATGGCTCAACGGACAGCAAGTCTCCTGCAGGAGTTCAGCTGGGAGGTGTTTAATCATCCACCCTACAGCCCAGACCTCGTTCCCAGTAATTTCCATCTTTTCCTACACCTCAAGAAATTCCTGTCCGGTGAGCGTCAGCGTTTTGAGAATGACAGAGGCGGCAGACTTCTACAACACAGGTATTCAAAAGTTGGTCCCACGGTATGACAGATGTCTCAATTCTGGTGGCGATTATGTTGAAAAATAGCTGAACACTTGCTGTATCTGTTGCAATAAGGAAACTTGCTTTGTGGATGAGCCTCGTAGTCCTCTAGCTTGGCATGAAGCATAAGATGACTGGCCTGTTTTATACCTCAGTTGACTGTTTCCAGGGAAAGAGCCACTAGTAACCATTACATAGAATAGGAGAGGGGACTTGGCAGGCCTTAGAGCCATTCTTTTGATGTGGTGAATGGCATAATCTCTGTCCCTGCCAGAAATCGAACCCCGGCTATACTGTTTAGAGTCACTCATATTACTGGCTGAGCGAGTTGTATATTTGCAAATCACGTGAACAGTTTCATTAAGAATACTTTCGAGACAGGAGATTGGTGGTAATTATTAAAATTACAGTATTCTTGGATGTGATGCCATATAGCCTGGTATGTAGGTACCAACGTTTTGGAGTAACTTACTGCCTCCATCTTCAAGGTAGAATAAGAATCTGAAGATATGGAATGCTCGTGCCTGCGTACAAGACCACATGCCATTACATCCCAGAAGACAATAAGCTTAAGAAATGCTTTTGTAACATAATAGTGAAAGAGTTTAATGGTATGTTTCCCATTCCAGGAAGTTCTGCTGCTGAAGGAGGATTCAGCCCCGAAGCCGTTGACACAAGTAACACGTTCGGGGAAGATATGCTGCAGATGGCTCTAAAAATGGCATCAGAATTAGAGGAACCTGCAGTGGATTTGGAGGCTGCACTGACTCCATCTACAATTACAGCACAGTCACAGACTTCCATGGAACAGAATGATGGTTAGCGTGATTTCAGCATGCATGAATCATGTCAGCTGTTTAGTGTTTTGTTCTGATGGCATCACACATGCTGCTTTTTTGTGTTTTAGTTCCGAGTGATGACCTATGTTCACCTGAAGGTGGTTCATTGTAGTTAAGACATGTCTTGGCATAAACAATAGCAAAATCAATAAGAAGTCTGAGAAGAAGTAATTGCATACTTTCCTTTGATATGACACTTCCAACAGTTCTTCTCTTGTTGTATTTGTTGCAACAGTTAACGTTTTTGCCGGGCCATTGTCTAGCAACATCGGCGATACACATGCAATCACAGACTGAAGGGAGGGATTTATGAAGTGTGCTGTTGAGATGGGCTCAGATGCCATGATATACATATCAGGTTTCATAAAGATTGGTTCAGGCATTCAAAAGTTGGGGGGGGGGATTCACAGAGACAGACAGCATGGTGATATCATAAGCCTACTTTTATTTTTTCAAAGGAAGGAAAGAAGGCCAGAAAGTGGATGTGAGCAGGGGATTATGAATGTTATGGTTCAGATTTTTTCACTGTTACTATTCTTGCTTGAATCCTCACTCCCGGTCTTCCGTTTAGTTATATGGGTGAACTTTTTTTTTCTGAATTTGAGTGTTAGTCCTTTATGTTTTAGCTACTGTATACTGTGGCATTGATGAGGAAAATAAAGATATCCCAGATGAAGGACTCGTACTTCTAGTTGGTAATTGTATGTTCTGACTGACGAGTTACAGGAAATCGCTCTGAAATGGAATGATACACGCACTGTTGCTTCTGTGCCTAGCAACAGAGTCCGAAGCAGACGACCCTGAGCCGGTGCAAGCGCTCCCAGAGACCCGAGCCAATCGGGGAAGGAAGAGAGGCATCCGAACAACCAGAGGTATTGGCAGTGTACCAAGTAAGCGGGGGAGGAGAATCAGCAGCTCGGTCGATGTTCCTCTGTTACCGCCTCCTGAGCCGCAGCCACCTCCACGGGTTGAACAAGAGAAACCTGATGCCAATATGTGTCTGAAGGTATGGGCTGCAGAGTCATTGCTCTTAGAACAGAGTAACGCTTCATCATTTCAGTGACGGCCCTTGGTGTTTTTTCACTACGATTGGCAGTTGAGCCTGGTTTTGCTTTTTGTAATTACTTAATAAAACAGTTCACATTCATTGAAAAGAGCAGTCCACGGTGCTACAGTTGGTACCACTGTGTATTCTGTATCTGTGCTTCCTCACCCTCCTCTACTTCCTTTCAAGTCACCAATTCATGATGCATGTGTTCACGCCTCAGCCACCAATTCTGATGAAAAACAGGTGCTGTATATCATGTATTTTTATGTTTATTCTAGGAATCATACAAGTTTTCCACTAAATATATTCTGTATTTCAGAGTGTTGTATACTTTATCCATGATACATAATTGAATGAAACAGAAATTAATATTTCTGGTGACTCCATGAAGTGAACTTTGTGCTTATCTTCAGATAGCGAAGTCTGATGCAAAGTATGTGGACATGTATAGTAGGGCTACCTCTCACTATCCACCAACTTGGAATCTTATAATTTAGAACATCTCAAAGAGGTGGTACAGCATCTTGTTGGAAAACAATTTCATTTGGATCCAGTTTCCTGACAAATGCAGGGTCATGGCCCCCATCATAGTGGACTCAGTAAAAAGAAAGATCTTTAGGTAAGGATGGAAGTTCATTTTCATTTTTGTTTCATTCAGTTATGTATCAGGGTTACGAAAATATAACACATTTGTATACTGAACATGTTTCGTGAACTCCTGATATTGTGTGCATATGCCATCTATTGTATTTATTTGTGTATAAGATGAGGTTACTTTTATAATTATGCATTTAAAAATTATCAATTCACAACTCCAGACAAAGCAGAATACTTCACTATGATAAATGTTACATGCCACTGATGACATAACCCATGTATACAGGGTGTCCCAGGAGGAATGGACCAAACTTCGGGAGGGTGTTCCTTATGTTAAAGTATGCCGATATAACCCAAAACATCTATGTCCAAAGTTGAACGGTTACAGAGATAATGGCCCAAGAAAAGTGTGGTCTTCTAGCGGGTCCATGCACTATACCTGTCAGCTGTGACTCTTATCTGTTTGTCCTTGAGTTCTGTGAGTCACACTAGCTGCAATCTCATGCGCTACTTACAGAGCCTACATATTACATTGCGGTGGGGTCGTGAATGGTTAGTAAATTACTTGTAGTTGTGCAGTGTTGCTGAAATGCCTTTTGTGTTTTCACACGTTGAATATTGTGATATGCATTTTGTGTATGGATTTTGCGGTGGCAATGCACGTGCTGCTGTTGAAGTGTACCAAAGGCGTTTTCCCGATCGAAGGATTCCATCTCTACATGTATTTACGCGAATTCACCAGACATTGCGTGAGACTGGTTCTCTTCTGAGTGTTTCTGTGCAGTCGGAAAGGGAGGATGTACAAATGAGAAACACACGAGAGAACATTCTTGGCATGGTTGAGAGA